GAAGGCCCCAGCCCCCCCCCCCCCAGGGAACTGCAACCAAGCCCAGGATCCCACCTCACTGTGCAGTATCAGCTCTGTTACCCCCTCAATAAATAACACAAGCTGGAGTAAGCATGTAGATGGGGGTTTACCCCAGGACCTCTGGGGTCCCCCTTGGCTGGTGAAGGTTGCAATGATGCTCCCATGCTGCTGACCAAAGAGTGAGGCTGAAGCAAGGCAAACAGAAACTCCCCCTCAGTGCACTGCATCCATCACCCTCCCCTTGTTAGCACCCGCTCCAGCTTGAGAGTGGCCGTGAGATGCGCTCCCAGGGGCTATGAGAATAAATTTCTCTGCCCCTTCCCTTATGAGAGAGCTGGGAGGCAGCCATCCTATGTTCTTGAGGATACAGGGCTGAGCTGCTTGTCATGTCCACTTTGCACACCCAGTTGGCCAAGGGAATTGGTCACCCTGTGGCAGTCCACCTGCAGGCTTGAGATCGGCTCCAGCTTCATCACCCTACCCATGCCAATCTCTCTTCTGCCGTCTTCATGCCTGTGCTGGCACTGCAGGGCACGTGTGGGAGCAGGGAGTACAGATCCAGACCCCTGGACTCACCTTGTCAACATGGTTCACAATTTCCTTCATGCGGTTCTGCACTGTACGCAAATCCTTGTGTTTCCTGAACTACAGAAGGACACAGAGAGATTTCCAGGCTGGCTTCGATTTCCTTGCTGCAATGGATGACAGCGCAAGTGTAGGTACTGGGTTCCTGCCCCGGTGCTTACCTCCTCATTGTCCACAACCAAGACCAGCTCCACATATCGGGGACCTTTGTGTAATGGAGCTGATCTCTGGAAGAGAAGAGGAAAGTGAGTGCAAAGATGAGCTCAGCTCTGCAGTTTGCCAAGCCCTGCAGTTGACCCTCCTGTGGAATGTGTTGGATCCTGGGGCATCTTCCAATGTTATTCAACATTGGTCTAGTAGGTCTAGCTCTGCTTTTTGATGTTACTTCACTGGGTGTTTCAGACTTCTTCCAATACACAAGTTAAAACTCAAGCTTGCTACTGGGATAAGGCATGAGAGAGGCTCTGTGATCATCACAAAGCTCATGGGAGAATGTTCTTGCTAATGGTACAGGATCTGAGGACTTGTTCCCAGGAGCCAGGAGCTAGGCCACTGGGAGCAACCTGTGTTCGTGTGCCCAACCAACAACGTGTGGGAGCGGAGCACATCCAAGGTATGCGGTATGGGCCCCATTCCTCTCACAGGACCTAGGCTCTTGCAAACTCAGCTACAGCAAGAAGAAACAATGCAATCCTTAACCCAGCGGTAGAGCTTCATAGCTGCAGGAATTTTTGGTTCGTGGTCATATTCCAGGGTGGCACTGGACTCCAGGCACACGCCGCGCTTCCCCCGCAGGTGAGCTGCTCTGTACACTGCATGCTGGCCGGCCGCATCCTCCTCCAGGGGGTCCAGCAGGAAGGTGGTCTCATTCACCCGGAAAAATCCACTGCCGAGAGAGGGGGTGAGTGCCAGGCTGGGGAGATACCTGGCAGGACATGGACAGAACCTACACGCACCCTCGCAAGTGCCTGTGATACAAAATACAGCTGCTAAATCTCAGCTAGGAAACCACCTTATCCCTTCATGGTTTGCATAAGCTGCTTGGATGACTACCGGCCACTAGGGAGGACACAACAGTCAGGTCTTTCTGGCCATATACATGAAACCACACTCAATGCAGAGCCCCTAGCAGCCCTTGGGCAGTGCATGAAGCCTCACACCACTATGCAGAGGTACAGGGGTGCAGGAGCTCACAGCAATGTGATGGACTGGATGCACCTTCTCTGCAACCTCACCTGGCCCAAGAGTCCATCAAGGAGGTGCTGCAAGGACTGACCTGGGCCATGCCAGGAGATGAGAAGCAATAGGAAACATGTCCCCAGCATTTGCTTTTGGGGGCTGCAGAAGTACCATTTAACTGTTAGGGAGGCTAAAAACTGGCTGCTGGGCTGGGAGGGAGCAAACCACGGCATGGCAGCTGTGGCGAGGGGAGTATCCTGTACTTCGGGCAGCAGAAATCTCCCAGGGTTCAGCAAGGTGAACTGCGCCATGCTGCCAGCCCAGGTGTAGCACAGTATTTCTACTGAGCAGCTCTGGGCTCCAAGATGCTTTCTGTAAGGTGTCCCATATGCCCTGTCTGTATCATCCTTGTCTCCTGTCCTGCTCTTGCACATCTTCTCCTCCTACTATACAAGGATATGGTGTCCCATGTATGCATGTGCGAGCCAAGGTGTCCACAGACACAAGCCGTCTTGCAAAGTGAGGAGATGGCTGCCATGCAGCTCCAGTAGGTGTTTCTCCTGCAAATGGGTGCTCCAGGGACCACCTGTCCTCCTCACACATCCCCCTGCCAGGGACCCCTTCCTCTCTGGCTTACTCTCTTGCAATGTCTGGCTGCCAGGTGACCTTAAAAGAAAGAGAACAGCAGAGTACAGATCTTCCATGACAAACTGAGCAATGCTGCATGGACCTGGGGACTGTGGGTTACTCTGCAAGGATGCTTTCTGCCATTAAAAGAAGGTAGACCCAAGGCAGCTTTTGAGGAATGAGCCCCAACATGGCCAGCAGAGTGGGCAGAGGGAGATACCTCTATGTGTCCTTTTCTTTCGGAAAGGCACCGGCCATCAGCTCCAGGAGCTTGGCGTGGCCAGGAGGAGATGTAAAATGCCTTTCCTGCTAGGCACCGAGCCAGGGAGGTCAGCACTCCCACTGCCAGCAGGAAAAGGGACGTCTTCTCTTCCTCATGAGAAAGCTGAGCTCTCTGTCCATCAGCACAGCTCCGGCTGGATGGGGCTTGGTCACACCAGCTCACCATCACACGGCACTACATCTGGCAGGAGCAGCACAGTGGCGTGTGCCAAGACCAGGCTTGCTGCTGCCCTCTGGCCAGCTGCAGTGCACTGGGGAGTTGGAGGTCCTACCTGAGCCCACTGCAGGTGCTGATGCTCACTGCTGAGTCGGTGTATCCTTGCACATGGCCCTGATAAAGGCAGTGATCCTGTTGTCAAGAGAGAGGAGAGGTGTAAAGGAGGTCTGCACCCACTGTTTGCACAGCAGGACCTTGCAGGAGTAGGAGAACTGCCCTCCCCCCCCCGAGCCAGCTCCATACCTGAATGTCTGGCTTCTCTGTGACCTCTGTGCCGTCAGCTAAGTAGTGCGTTTCAGTGTACTGCTGCCCCAGCAGCTCCCTGCAGGAGGGGGAAGGGGTGTAAGCAGTGACCCCGGTTTTGGGGAGTGGATGGAAAGTTTGGGCATGGAGGTTGGTCAGGGTATGGTGGATCCATGACTTCTCTGGGTGGGTTTGGCAAGGAGGGAAAGAAATTGCAATATTTTGCTATTGAGGGTCTGGCCTGAGGGCTTAGATTGCTGGTGTGGGGATGCTGGACCTTGGAGAAGTGATGTTCATGGCAAGGGCCCCCAGCCATCCTGCTGTGCCCACCCTCACTCACTTGTTCTTCTCCAGCCACAGGAGGTAGTCCCTGCCTTCCGCACGGATGCTGTAGAGGACATGGTCCGGGTAGGTGCTCTGCATGAAAGGTAGACAACATAACAGACCCACCATCACCAGAAGCAAGAGCTACAGGATGGAGGACCTGCCCAGAGAGGGGATGGGGTGTGCATGTGTCCTGCTGGAAGGTGGCTGCAGGACAGGGAACCTGGCTGCTCATCATGGAGTCACCCAGCAAAGACACAGGAAATCAGAAGAGAAAAAAGCAAGCATGTGGGCAATAACACAATTCCCCGTCACATCCTGAGATAAAGAACAGGTCACCAGCAATGAAACAGAGTCAGCAAAGTCTGGTTTCCTGTCTCTGACACATGGCTGCAGATGGCCATGCCAGAAACTGAGGTTTCGTACTCATCAATCACGAAGGTCCTTTTTTGGGCGCTGAGTTCAGCGCTTACTCACAGGCTAACCACAAAGATCCCCAGTGCCCAACAGCTCTCATCAGCAGAGACTTCCTTATCTCTGAATGATCTAACGTGCAACATCATGGTTAGAAAACAACCTTCTCTCAGTTCTCTTCTGCTACTGAGAATGGATTTTAGTACCACCATGTGCCAGGTCCCCTGAGCATCATCCTAGTGCTAGTAGAAGGGACCTCAAAGCATCTCAAGTCCAACCTCCAGTCACTGTGGCTGGATCAGGGTGGACGTGGCTCAGTCTAACCGAGCCCTGAACTCCCAGGATGGAGATGTCCCTTCCAGAAGTGTTTTCCTCTGGAATATGTTGTGATCTCAATCTGAAGAGACTGAGCCATAGACTTCCAGGTGCATCATCCCACCCGGGCCACTGAGAGAGACGATGACCTCTTGCATGGTGCCCTATATCAGGCTGCACCCTTGGCACTAGGGACCTCAGTCACCACTGCAGCACAGACACCTCTCTTGAGGGCACATCCTCACTCTTACAGGATCCCCGCATGGAGAGCTGAGCAAACGGCAAAGTAAGCACTTCCCGCAGGGCCAGCATTCCTCCCAGATGAGATGTGTGTCCTCTCCCCAGGAGGGATGACAGCACTTGCTGTCATAGGATGGCTCAGCGCTCCCAGTGGGATGATCTGCAGCCTGGCAGGAGCTGGGGCTGAGCCGAAAGTCCTGCTGACTCAGCACCAGCAGGGCTGGGTAAGAGGGTTTGCCCATCACTCTGTCCCCCTCAATTCAACCCATTTCCAACTTGAAGCAGCAGGCTGCTGGCCACGAGCTGTCCTATCTGCATGCCGAGCAAGTTGCAGCAAGCCTGCCAGGCAGCCCCGGCTGCAGGTAAGCACACCACTGACATGTGGGTGCACTCATGGGTCCCCACAAAATTCTTTTCTTATGAAACAGCGTCTCTTGCCTGACGTGGCCATCCTGTCCAGTGTCTGCTGACAAAGTGATGCTTTGTTATTCTTGGCAGCGCTGGAGCCAGAAGAGGTCTTAAGAAATGGCAGGAAAGCACTTGGAAGGGAGTGATGGGTCAGGGACCGTCTCTTGGAGACAATCACAGGGCAAGTTAAAAAAAAAATAAATAGTCCTGCTAAATCTTCTCTGAATCACCCCCTTCCTTATTAGCATGGGCTTTGCAAGGGCTCCAGATGGGAAGGCTTTGAAAGTGCAGGCAGTTCCGCCCTGGCCCTGCTAACCCCATGACCGTGCTGAGCAAGCAGAGTTATGGCCACAGCACACAGAAAGGAAGGATTTCTTCCAGCTGGTCTTATTAAGTGACCCAGAGAGCTTGCAGAGGATCGGGACACGATGCCATCATCCCACCCCAGCACAAGGTATTTCTTCCCTGGCTGGGAAGAGGTGACAGGCTAGGACAGTACGGGTGAGGCTCATTGCACCATGCTGTGTATCAGAGGAGCTGCAGCACAAGAGAGGAGGAAGAGAAGGTGGGTCTCTAGGCCACCACTGTCCCTTGCTCCTGCTCCATTTGGCCCCATCGCTTGCTCTGCAATGGCCTGCTGTTTCCAGCAGAGCTGCAGGCTGGGCTAACCGACGCTTAGCTATCTATCTCCAGTCAGTCAAAGGGCTTGCCTTGTTGCATCAACTGGTTCTATGGACACAGTGGAGGACATCAGCAGGGATGTGTGAGCACAGGTGCACTGACAGAGAAGCCAGCAGTTTGCTACGCCAGGTCTTACACGGGCTGTAAACCACCCTCCTGTATCAATACAGCTCTTTAAAAATGCTGGAGTATGGGTATGAGAGAGATGTCACTTCTGCGATCAACAGCATGTAACTATAAATCTTTTTGGAGGCCCTTCTTGCTTTTTTTCAGGTCTCTTTCCATGAGGAACCCAGGTTTGCCACATGTCCTGTCATGCTGCTGCTAAGGATGGGTGGAAGGAGAAGACCATGTCCTGTGGGAAGGCTGGCATCACAGGAGATCCTGTGCTGCAGGACCCAGATCTCCACCCTGTCTGCAGGGCTAAACATTTTGATTTAAGGAAAGCCAGAGGGGTCTGCTTCAAAACTCACCTCGCAGATGCTCTGCTGGACCAGCCTCATGTGTCCCAACTGCTCTGACACAGAAGCCAGCTCTTGGCTCATGCCCATCCCAGCCAGAGACTGCTAATGCAAAGCCACAGAAGGAGCTGGCACAGAAAACGACCATCCAGTTACCTGTCTCCACTTCGAAGAGGGGCTTGGTCGTGGTTAAGCCTTTCTGAGAACCTCTTCCCCACCAACCAACGTTACTGGAAGAGCAAACCCAGCTTTTGTGGAAGAGAAGAAAAATGGCTTGAAAGGCAGGAGACCACATATCCTCAACACAATAGGTTTGGGAGGTTCAAGAACCACCTCATCCAAGACCAAATCCAGGTGCCACCCAGCAGACACCACCCATGGCTGTCCCAAAGTACATAGCTCAAGGCAAATGTCTTCTCCTGTGCTGTGGAAAGCAGAGGGACACCAAGATGGATGAGCTCCCCTTTCCAGGGGGGTCAGTGCAGAGCTGCCTGATGCACCCAGCACAGATGGTATCTCTAAATAGCCTGGGGAATGTTTACCTTGTGGGCAAGTTTAGGTTTCTAGAGCAGAGAAAACAGATGCTCTTGGGCAGCATTTTTGAAGCTAGTTTAACAGAATGGGTTTGAATCATAGATGAACAGGCTGTATGAAGAGTTTACTAGGAGATAAATGTCCACAGCCCCTCTGTCTCATCAGGTACTAAAGTTTGTGCTTTTTGGTTCTAGAAAATGAATCCCTGTATTTGTCTGAATTTCACTTTAAGGCAATGAAGAAAACAATGAGATCAAGGCCATCATCCTATGGACGTCAGCCCCAAGTGCTCAAAAGTACTGAGTCAAACCCCATTCCTTCCCCCAAATTACATGGTTTCCCAAGAAAAATAACACTGGCTTTCTTTCATGTGGGTTTCTGCAACTTTCTGATTCCTATTTCCCTGTCCCAAAGGATGAAAAAATACAACTTCAGCAAACACAGCTCAATGAGGCTTTGCAAATCCCTCCTTACACAAAGACCAGATGTCACAAGATCACTGCAAAGTTGCAGGAGGTGGCACCACTCGGGTAATGTCTCAGAAAAGAAACACTGGCGAAGCTCCCCACCCCCT